ATAACAATGTCGTAATATTGTAGAATTTGTTTTAAATGGTTTTAAATGTGTTTTATGCGCTGGTTTATGCCTGATTGTGAGCCGCCCGGAGCCCGCGTTGCAGGGAGGACGGGCTATAAATTGAACTTATAATTAAATTTTTATTCTGCCTATCATTTTACAGGGCTCAGAAATAGGTCTCCCCCTCCTCTATTTGCTCATGACAACTCTGTGAGATCAGACAGGAGAGAGTCACTGACCCAAAATCGCCCAAGCACCAGGGCAAAGTGGGGACTTGAAACAGGGTCTCCTTGTTGAAGTCCAACACTCTTCTTGTGGACAGGGTGAGGGAGACTTGATCTGACTTAATTTATATCCTGCCTTTCTCCCCAGTGAACCCAAAGCAGCATACATCATTCTTCTTTCCTTTGTTTTACCCTCACAACAACCCTGCGAGGTGTGTGACTAGCTCAAGGTCACCCAGCAAGCTTCCATGGTAGAGGAGGATTCGAACCTGGGTCTCCCAGGTCCTAGTCTAACACAAACCGCTACAACATGCACTCTCACACCCCGTGTCCGTAGACCTGTACATTCTAGTCAACATTCAAATAAGAGCCTGTGTATCACCGTGGTTCGAGTGTTGGGCTACGATCCGGGAGACCCAGGCTCAAATCCTACATTCCACTGGGAAGCACAGTGGGTGACTTCAGTCAGTCACTCCCCTCCAGCCCAACCGGCATCGTTGCGAGGACAAAATGGAGAAGAGAGAACCATGTAGGCTGCCCTGAGATTTCTGGAGAAAGGGTGGGCTCTACTGGTAGCAGGAGCTCCTTTGCATATTAAGCCACACACCCCTAGTGTAGCCAATCCTCCAAGAGCTTACAGAGCTCTTCTTACTGGGGCTACTGTAAGCTCTTGGAGGATTGGCTACACTAGGGGTGTGTGGCCTAATATGCAAAGGAGCTCCTGCTACCAGTAGAGCCCAACTGTAATAGACACCTTCAGAGAGCAACTTTTCAAATGTTGTTTAATTCAGCAAAGGAATATTTGGTGCCCTGAGCTGGACGGGGCCAGGCTAGGCCCAATCTTATCAGCTCTTGGAAGCTAAGCAGGGTCGGCCCCGGTTAGTATTTGGATGGGAGGCTTCCAAGGAAGACCAGAGTCACTGTGCAGAGGCAGGTGATATATATATATATTGTGTGTGTGTGTATTTGATAGGTGTTGTGTGTTTTGGGACACCACCTGCTTGGTTATACAATTGTTGACTAGTTTTGAAATGTGACAACAGAGTAAGATGTTGGACACATGTCACATTTCCCCCCTTGTCCTTCCTTCAAAGAGCTTCAGGGTGTCAGGCAGAGTTTATCCCCCTGCAACTTTATCCTCATACAGCTGCCAAGGTAGGTTAGGCAGATAAAGTGCGGCTGTCTTTGGGAGGAAGGGGGCGCACACACACACACACGTTTAGTACAAGGTAAACCCTTTATTACAACTTTTTTTTTCATTGATAGGTATACAACATCTGAAAGACAGATACAGGGAGGGGGGGGAAGGGAAAAAGTAATATTGTTATAAAATGTCACATTTATTGCTACATTACTGTTATATACAGGACAGTTCTCAAAATTCTACTTTTAAAAAAGTTAAGGATTATTTAAAAATTCCAAATAATCCAGCCAGCTGTTTTTTCCCCGACACTTGTATAAAATTATTATTTTTTTTAAAAAACGAACACAATCCATATCTTGAGGCACTCGGAAACACAATTTTAACCCCGTGCTCCCCCTCCCTCCCCAGAAATTCTGATTCAGTCCAAAAAAATGTCTCTCTTTCTATCCTGCCCCCCCTCCTCCCGTCCCCAAAAACCTTTTCATTTTTATTGGGGGATAGGCATACATATATATATATATATATTTATACTATATATATATTTTTCAAAACTATAATGTGTATCTGGATTTTTAATAACAAGGATCTTGGCCAGTTACGTACAGCTGGACTTACATGTAGGCAGCAAAACACCAAGGGCCACAATCCAGCCTGCAATTAGGTATGTCTGAAGTCCCATTGAAACAACAGGATTTGCATATAAATTGCAACCCGATGGTTTTAACGAGACTTTGCCATAACTCACTTTAGCTGGATTGGGGCCACCCCCCCCAAAAAAGCAAAGACTATTTTTTAATTTTTTAATATAAAAAGCCCCATTAACAACAAAAAACCCCTCAAAACATCCAAAAGGGCTACAAAATATGCAACACCCCAACTCCTAAAAAAATATAGTTTAATGGGAATCAAGTTACATTTTGTTCTCTGTATTGCTTGAACCCCATTTTTTAAAAAACAAAAATTCATTTTCCCACAATGCTGTCCCTTCCTAAGACCTTTTTTTTTGCTGGATATCCCTTTTTCGTCTCCTAAAACTCTTACCCCTCTACCCAAACAAAAATAAATATCCCAAGATTCTTTGGGATGTATCTACATTATAAACTTCAATGGGTTTCAAACCACTTCCAGCTATCGCAGCCGCCAAAATGGGGAAAATCTGGATATTGCAGTTCTAAGATAAGGGGTGACTTTGGGATGGGAGGGCCCCTCTTTCCAGTCCCCAAATGAAACGGATTCTTTTTAAAAGAAGCCATGAATTGAAAAAGCCACGGTTTGAAACTGGTTTAAAATTTCTAGTGTAGACATGCCCTAAGAAAGGTGAGCTTCCCACCTCTGCTCAACAAAACAGAAATATCACTACAGAACTAAAACAAACAAAATGAACCATTTAAAAATAACAACAAAAAAAGCTTTTTTTTTTTTTTTTGAGCTGGTGGATTGGAAAGAGATTTCGGGAGATGTGGCACTAAGAGTCATCAGGCTTTCTGCTTTACAGAGCTTTATCGGGGGGGGGGGCTGGAGATGTCTCTCCCTGGAGTTTTCCTCATGGAGTTAGGAATGCCCACTCCAGAAACTCTGCTTGCCCCCAGGTCAACCCTGCCCCAATCTCCTGTTCTACTTCTGCAAACAATTTTGGGAAATCCACAGAATCAAAGGGCTGGCTGAATCTTTGTGGTACGGGCAGTTGTGTTTTCCATTTTCCTCAGCAACATTCCCCCCCCCCCCCGGGCGCAGGCACCTACATGTAAAAGGGGGAATGAACTCTCTCTGTTGGAAAGCTAGTACCCACGGGACCGAGTCAGAGCAAGATCCAGGGATGGAAGGGACGCAACCAATGGCTCAGCTAGGCCATCCACAGATGCGTTCTGGGCCAGAAGGTAGCCTGGCCTACCAAAAGGCACCAGCCTTCTCTTCCCAGTTACTGTTAGGCCCAAGAAGTTACAAGGCCAAGCTTGAAAGGTGCGGCAAAACGCAAGGCCCTTCTCACTCAGTTTCTCTTTTGACATCAGAAGGGAGATCACTTGCAATGGGGATCGAAGTAGCGTCCGCTAAGGATCCTCTAAGACACCATCCTCTACCACCAGCCCCAAAGCAAAATTCTGTGATCTGGAACTTCACGTTTTGAAATTATGGCTCCTGCCACTGAGCCTGCAAACCTGGACCCAATCTTTCAAAATTACACAGTTGGCGGTACCGGAGGAGAGACCTGCATAGGCTTAAGTATCCATGTAACTGGATTATAGACCCCCACAACAACAACCCACCCACAGTAGTGTGATTGACATGGAAGCAGAGGGATACTTTCTGTTCACAAAGATGGGCAGGGGAAGGTCTCTCCGAACAGCACTTGAGGATCGCTCTGGGGTGTTCTGAAGGGGGGGGGGGGAGACATTTAGCCAGTCTGTAGTGACAATTCTGAGCTTCCGATGGGTTCCAAATGGCTGAGGAAGCACATTTTCTTAATAGCCCTGGAACAATGATGTAGAGACACAGATCCGTCTTCAGGGGAGGGGTGTTTCCAGCCGTGGCTTCTAGCGCAGCCTGGAGGGTAGCTGATCTCTGCTCTTCACACTAAAAGCATCTTTTCTTCCCAAACATCTGAAGTCTCCAGCTCCGCTCCTCCTTCTCCTTTGCTTGCTGGATGAAGTGTTTTGTTCTTCTTCATTCGGTGCCCCTCCGCCTCCCCCCGATCTTTGTTCTAGCCATAGCTTTCCTCTCTCTCTCTCTTTTTTTGTTCCTTGCCCGTTGGCTCCAGTGCTTTAGAATAAGCAGTTTTCCACCTCTGGAATACCTTTTTAAAGGCTTCTTCTGCATACTCCTATTCCATGCACGCTACCGCGTGTGCCCCCCCCCCAGCATCTTAATGTGCTGATTTTGAGGTCCTTGTGACATCCCCACAGTTGTAAAGGAACTGACAGTTATTTTCCCCCCCTTGCAGTCACCTTTGGCTTCCTAGGAAAAGGATCATAAACATCTCAGGGGTGGAGATAAAAATGTAAGACTTTCAGGTATCCCTCTGGGACAAATCCTCAGGATGACAGACAACAGATCCTCAAGCTGTCACACTGTGCTTGTTCTTCTCTCTCTCCCCACCCCCCCAAAAAGAGCAAAAAAGGATGTTATCAACACATTCTGAATTTCTTTTATCATCATGGAAGCTATGAGCCAAACGTGATCGCTTTTCTCCCTCTCTTTTAGACATCCAGTCTCTCAATACAATTTTTAATATTTCTGGTTGATCTTCTTTGAAAAAATAATAATAATATGCAACATTAACTATAGAAACAGCAGCAGGGGAAAAAAATAACCAAAAGGATGGGGAACCAAAAAAAAAAACATTTTTTTTTGTCTTCGCTTACAAAACATAGATGCAAAAAAAGCTAATTTAAAAAAAAACAACCAAAAAAAGGCATTGCTATGTTTGTTCTACTTTTTTTTTTAAAAAAAATTATAATTAACTAATGTTCTTTTTTAAAAAAAAAATTACGCTTAGGCACAATTCTTCTGCTGGCCTTTTGTGAACAAGCCATTTTGTATAGAACATTTTCCCCCCCTCCCCGATGCCCCCTCAGTAAATTCAAGATATGCATTGACAGTTCCAGAATATACACTTTAAGGCAATCTTTGCTGTTGGTTTTTGATAAAGTTGCTCCTTTCCTTGTCTTCCATCCTTCCTTTCCCACTTTTAAAAAAAGTCCCTTCGAACGTGCTGAAGATCCATTGCCGTACGTCAGTATTTAACAGGGCTACAGTTTCTGGTGTGGACCATGGGGCAGGGGCGGGACACGGCCTTCCCTTCTTCCTACAGACGGCTGCTCCCAGAAGAAGAAAAGAATCCTCTAGAGAGAAAGACAAGGGGTAGGGGTGGGGGAAAAGGAAACAAAAACAGAGATCTTGAATCTCGGCATGCAGCACACAGGAATAGAACTGCAGGTCGTTCAGCATCCGGGATCCTGCAGCAGCCAGCCTGGTGTGACTACCTGCAGAACTGAGTGCCATGGGATGGGGCGAAGGTCACTCATTGAGAGGGCTTTAAAAAAAAAAAAAGCAGAGCAGACAGATTCATCCACTGCTTTAGTTGTGGTGTCTCCCGCCTTGTTGAACAGCCTGCCTGATTTCTGCCCTTCTGCCAAGTGTGTGAAATGGAATTGCTCAGGAGGGCATTTCTTCAAAGGGAATAAGGCTGCAGTATAATGGAAAGGGGGGGCATGTCTATAAAGGGACCAGGATCGTAGCCTGTTCCACTTAGGGTTGTCAGATCCCCCGGTCCCATGGGGGTTTCCACCTGGCCAGCGGGGGGGGGGGGGGGGAAGCCCCACCCCTCAGAATGACCACCCGGCAACTCCGTACAAGATTTAAAGGGCTCTCCAGCTGGCCCTTTAAATCTTGAAGAGGGAGGAAGCAGGGTGGCCGTGCGTGCCTGCACCCCCCCACCCCTTCCCAATAGTGTTCAAAGAGATGCTGTTGGGAAGAGGTGGGGCCGCGCACCCGGAAGTTGTTGGTGGCTCAGGGCTTGGAGGGCGCGCACGAGCGAGCGGCACCCTCTCTTTTAAAGCAGGGGCTGCCTGTGCCTGCCCTACAAGCGGCGAGATTGCAACTTGGAGGGCAAGCGCAAGCAGCTCCTGCTTCAAAAGAGCGGGAGCCGCTCACGCTGGCCTTGCAAGCAGTGATCTTGTAGCTTGCAGGGCAGGTGCGAGTGGTGCCCGCTCATCTGAAGCGGGAACTGCTCGCGCTTGCTCTGCAAGCAGCGATCTCATGACAAAGGGCTTGCAGGGCAGGCACGGGCAGTTCCGCTTTCCTCCAATCATTTAAAGGCAAGGTTCCCTTTAAATGGTTGGGGGAAAGCAGGGAGGGGCAGGCGCACACAGCGCGGCGTCCCTGACGGGGGCGGGGGGGGGGGGGGGGGGGGGAATATGACCTGGCAACCCTAGTGCCACCGTTGACTGAATGTATTACCTCACTTTTACAGACTTACTTTCTACTTTGGTAATTCCATTTTACAACATATGATGTCTGATATCCCCTTTTGGGGGTATCGTTTCTAATGTCTGTGATCCTAGTCCCACAGGCTTTGTTTTCTGGACGTCTCACGTCAACTGGCTCACACTGTGTAACCCACCATGTCTCTCAGTGAGAAAGGCAGGCTATAAATAAAGTAAATTTAAAAAAACAACAAACAAAAGATTGTTATAGATTTTTCGGGCTGTGTGGCCAATTCAATGTTCCCTCTAAGCTGTGGAGTCTTGTGAGCAAAAATTCTGCTTTGTGAGCTACTGGCATGAAAGTTGTGAGCCAGCGACTTGGCTGCTGCATAAATCAGTTTGCTCTGGAGCCCTCCTTCCTGAGCTAAGGCAAAAATGTGTGAGCCAGAGGCTCAAACACTGTGAGCTAGCTCACACTAACTCAGCTTAGAGGGAACACTGGTGGCCATGGTCTTGGCCCAGAAAATCTACAACAACGAATGAACTCCGGCCGTGAAAGCCTTCGACGGCATAACAAATTAAGATTCTGCTGACCATGTCTACCTGGAATCGGCACAGTCCGGAGGCAGGCTTTGGCCCCTGTGCCTTGCTTAGGAGCCTTTCTGGCCGGCCACTCTAAGAAACAGGATGCTGGGCTAGATGGACCACTGGTCCGATCCTCCAATGTCCTTTTTATGGCGCTATGATCTGGGAAACCCAGAGTCAGAGAACGATGGCGACAGTCCTGCTCTGTTGCTAGACCTCAGGATTTGGTAGTTAGCGATATACTGCCTCTGTACAGGGAGGCTCTCTCTAATGAGAGAACCGCTTTTTGTAAAAACACAAAAGAAGGGACTCTGCTGGATCATACCGAACATTTGCCTACTCCAGCGTCCTGTTTTCTACAGTGGCCAGCCAGAGGCTTCTAGAAATCCTGTATGCATGCCGCAGTAGCCAAAGCCCCTCCCCCTATTGTCCCCCCCAGGAGCTGCTATTCAGAGATACATGGAGCTGCCCTGGCTAATAGACAACACTATAGACTCTCTTCCCTCAGTTGGACTAATATCTTTTAAATGTCATCTTGAATCCCTGTAGATCTGACACAAGTTTTTCAATTTAGAAAATAAGCACACATCTGTTACAAGTAAAGACTTAACTAAAGTCAAACGAAAGACTTAACTAACCGCCCCCCCCCCCCCCATTAAATGGCCGGGCAGTCCATAATGGGAACAGAAAATTGTAAATCGCCATCTGGGATCTTTTATTCTGGGTTTATCTCTTATTAACTGTATACGGATATTTTAAAAATTGTATTTTGTTTTATGGCATTTTGCCGGGATAGGGCGATTAATAAAGAGGAGCTGCCATTTAGATTCTTGGCCTGAGGCTAAAATTCACAGTTGAAGAGGGTCCTCGTGTGCTGTGTGCCAATTTTAAACAGGCGAGCCTGGTTCCCCCCCTCCCCTAAAAAAGAAAAAGCCAGCCAGCCACAAGGTGACAGAAGAGGGTACCTTTACATATGTCCCACAGGGTTGTGCCCATCTCCTAGACCTGGATGGGATGCCGAGAGCGCCATCTGGGGGTCACCCACTACACCTGACACCTTCTCCTCTTCGCGGCGTTTCAAGCAGGCTGCCTTGGGGTTCAGATTGCGTTCTGAGACAAAGGGATAAAAGAGAAGAGAGAGCCATGGGAAGGAGGAGAATGCCAAACTTTTGGGAAGGGCCTTGGCAAGCCACCATCCTTTCCCTCCCTCCCTCTTCCCCAAAAAGAGAGCGAGAGAGAGAGAATACATATACAGATATAAGAAAGAACGAGAAACGTTCCAAGAAAGAACACGATGCTATTCCTTTCGCCAGCTGCAGTCATCCCAACAAAACAAAGCTGCTCCTTACGGAGGGAAGGAAAACGTTGCCAGCATTAACAGACCCTCAAGCCCCCTCTTCCTAAAGTTGTCTAGCAGGTTAGGCCGAGGAAGAACTACACTTTCATCACTCCCTTTGGCACGATCTCTGCTCTGTTCACACACAGCGAGAGGCAGCGCAGGGAAAACCGAGCCTCACACCCAGAGCCAAGGGCGGAAGGGAGAGGCAGAGACTCATGCAAGCATGCGCGTGCGCACAGAGGGACGGACGGACGGACACACACACACACGAACACACAGACTCCTGTACAAGAGTGACCTCAGGGTGGGAGAGCCCCCTGGCACCGTACCTCGTACTTGCTGCTCCAAGCCCAGAATGACTTGCACTGCTTGTTGAAGGATGATGAGTTTGGTCTGTGCTTTGTCTGTTTTTAAGTGCATCTGGCACATGCGTCCCAGCTCTTTAAAGGCCTCGTTAATGTCCCGCACTCGCACCCTCTCCCTGGCATTATTGGCCATCCGCCTCTCCCGGTCCCTCAGATCTTTGTCCTCCATTGACAGCGCCTCATCTGTACTGCTGGGTTCACACAGCACCACAGGGGTTAATCAGGGGGGAAAGTAGTGACTTGGGGGTGGGGGTAAGGGGACGGGGTGGTGCCAAGGTGTGGCAGAAAAATGTCCACAGTAAAAAGTCAATTGCCAAGGGGTGGGGGAGCCCTGAGAGATAAGGAGCTGCCAACACTAGGGTACAATCACACTCATAATCAGGGCTTTTTTGGGTAGAAAAAGCCCAGCAGGAACTCATTAGCATAACAGGCCACACCCTGACAGTGCAGCTTGTTAGCATATTAGACCACACCCCCATGCCTTCCCTTGGCTTGCCTGGGCGCCCCGCAGCCGGCCGGGGAAGGCACAGGGAGGCATTTAAATGCCTCCGCGATCCTTCTAGGACCCAACCCCGGCCCACCCACCTCGGCGTCGCCCGGGGTGTGTGTGTTTGCTCTTCAGGCCTTCCTTCTGTAGCCACGCATGCAGAGGTTTTGGCTGTAGTGGGCGTGGCCAACTGTGAAGCCAGCCGGAACTTCGTTCCTGTGCGTTCCTGCCCAAAAATAGCCCTGCTCATAATGATCTGTAATGTGTCCTTAATATGGTTGCCACTGGGAGAAGCCCTGATATCGGAGGCCGTGGAAACCACAGCTGTGCTCGTGTACAAATGCCACAGTAATGGGAATACCAAGCCAAGGAGGGTAAGCAAACCAGAGAGGTTAGAATTCATGGGTTAGAATTCTCTCTCTCTCTTTTTAAGGTTTTACTCTGCCTGCCATTCTACTACAAAGATTAAAAAGCGTTTTGTAAAAATAACCCCATTTTTTTTTTTTAATTACAGTTTCCTAGCTACAGGTATTCAAATTCACCCGTCAGATTTCTGAGCCTAGCAGCAGGATTAATAAATGTACCCAATCAGCAAACAAATCCAATATCATTATGAGTGCCAGCAGCAAAACAGGGACTTTAAAATTCAAACTTGAGCCTTATCGTCCACATTTTGAGATGCGAGACGGTTTCGAACTGGGCCGGTCTGGAACAAATGGCCCATTTTGGAAAAACGTAAGTTCTGAGCGAGAGTGAGCATCCTCGGACCCTGAGCGTGACAAGAGAAAAGAGGAAGAGGAGGAGGGGATGGTTCACACATGCAGGAAGATGAGATGGGATAACTGACTTTACACTGCAAGGTGGTGCATCACAGAGGGTCCTACTTTGAAATACTCAGTGCTCCCTTATGTTCCAAACTCCCTACAGACAGAAATACAGCACCACAAGCAAAGAGGGAAGTAGAACCTTGATGAACTAGTTTTCTATTGGCTGGAAGTTTTTTTTTTAAATGCAAAGGAAAATTCAAAGCTGGAATGACAATGTAAGAAGGGCACTGCTGGATCATAACAGTCCAGCATCCTGTTTCCCACAGTGCCCAACTACACCTAGATTGTTATAGATTTTTCGGGCCTGTATGGCCATGGTCTTGGCCCAGAAAATCTACAACAACTAATGAATTCCGGCCGTGAAAGAGAAAATCTACAACGACTAATGAACTCCGGCCCGTTTTTTGTTTGCCCACAGCGACTAGCTTTCAGTCATACACTTCTCGGAATATGGAGGTTCCACCGAATCATCATGCTTCGCAGCGACAGAGGGACATTTCCTCCATAAATCTGCAAAGCCCCCCCTTTCGTAGTCTACCACCTGCATTCTGAAGTGGGGCAGCCCCACCTCATTCTCCTGCACGTACAAATCAGACCTCAGGATATCACCCCAAGTGATAACCAAAGCAGCCTCAAAGAGAAAACCATGCCCAAGACAACGGCGGCATGATGACCACCTACTGAAGGGCGCGGCTCTCTCCCTCACTTCCTGGGACATAACTTTCCTCCCAAATGAAGCAAATGGCGCACGCCAGGCCTCCAAGCAAGGCCACAGTCGGCCCGGGAAAGGTGGGTTGGGAACAAAACATCCAAAGGCAACCGTGAGTGTTGGCAGCACCTTAAAGCTCCTGGTAGGGCGTCACTTGGCAAGCTTCCCCCCTCCTTTTCCTGCCAGCCTCCCCAAGCCCTGGCCAAGCCAGGACACGCAGCTGTAAGCAGGGACGACCTTCTTCTCCCCCAGAGCAAAACATTCTCGCGGGAAAGGCAGAAGCTGCCTCCAAGGGACGGATTTGGCGGACGTGTTGGATCGAACAGGAGGCCAACCTGATAGTGCTGGGCGCCAAAGGAAGGTCGGAAAGCACGCAGAGCCTCATCTGACACCAGACACCACAATCCCCCTTTCAAAATCTGTGTCCGGCAGCACTACACCAATGACCAAAGGGGTCGAGGGCAATGCTCCCTGTGGAGTCTTGTGAGCAAAGATTCTACTTTGTGAGCTACTGGCATTACATTTCTGAGCGAGCGATTTTGGCTACTGCCTAAATCAGTTTGCTCTGGAGCCCTCCTTCCTGAGCTAAGACAAAAATGTGTGAGCCGGAGGCTAAAGCACTGAGCTCGCTCACGCTAACTCAGCTCAGAGGGAACACTGGTCCAGGGATTGTGTCTGGGGGGTGGCCGGGCTGATTTGAGAGGGGCCTGTGTCGAAGGTGCAGCAGGCAGCTTTGACTTGCCCCGGAGGATTGATTTGATCAAGGTGCTCAGCATGGCTTCCAAGGGGAAGAAACCCCTACAATATGCCCCCTCCACACTTCGTTTGACTCATCTCTGGGCTTTTAAGGCACCAGGAACCCAAAATGGTCACACCAAGAAAGAAAACCCTCAAACACCTGCCACACAGGCCTGACTCTTTCAAGATCACACAGCATGCTGGAGGCTATTCAGAACCCAATTTCAGAGTGAAGTGAGACTGACTCCCTCCTGCTTGGCATGCTGGAAGCCTCAGGTTCAGTCTCCACTTGAAGAAACTCAGTGGTGGCAGCGACAAGCATAGACAGCTTCAAGAGGGGACTGGATAAACCTATGGAGCAGAGGTCCATCAGCGGCTCTTAGCCACAAGGTGCAGACGGAACACTCTGTCTGGGGCAGTGATGCTCTCTCTTCTTGGTGCTTGGGAGGGCAACAGTAGGAGGGCTTCTGGAGTTCTTGGCCCCACTGGTGGATCTCCTGATGGCACCTGGGGTTTGGCCACTGTGTGACAATACAGAGTGTTGGACTGGATGGGCCATTGGACTGATCCAACATTGGCTTCTCTGATGTTCTTACAAAGAACTCAGGAAGACTTAGGAGGCAGCCACAAATCAGAACACATCATTATCTAGATCAGGGGTGTCAAACGTAAGGCCCGGGGGCTGGAACTGGCCCATCCAGGGCTCTTATGCAGCCCATGAGCAACTAGTGCAAGGGAGGGAACAGGAGACTGCTCGGAGGAGTGGGCAGAGCCACTCCAATTGTGGCTTCAGCATGGTGGGACAACCTCGTCTGCAGCAGTTAAGCACCTGCCCCACTGGCTCTCCAGTCTGCCCCTATGGGTTTTCCTTTGCACCCCCCTCCCAGCCAATGGGGTCTTGCAGTGAGGATACACCAACTCAGAGCTTACAAGCTGCTGCCCTATATACAGCTTATATCTCTGGTATCTGGTATTATGTTTTATGGCACACATGGCCCAGCGCGACAAAGTGGCATTTATGTCAGATCCGGCCCTCATAACAAAATGAGTTCGACACCTCTGATCTAGATGGACCAAGGGTCCCACTCCGCTTTCATATGTTCACAAATGAGATCCAGAACAAAGTTTCTTACAGTTTCTGAGTCTGGCCGCAAAACGCAGCCCTTTCAGAAACATTTACGAATGTCATTTCATTTTGGAGGGGACCCTTTGCCACTGCTACCAAGTCTTGAATTTGTTAACCTAGCTGATACTTTGGACTGAAACATAGTCAGATTTAATGTAAAAATTCAATTGTGTCTGCACTTGTAAAGACTTTGAGGGCTTCGTTTTGTTGGCTTTTGTTTACGATGCTTTAAATTATCATTCGTACGCTGCCTTGCAGCACGAGGAAAGGCAGGATAGAGAAATAAAAGTATCAAATACGACAACGTGGCAAGGCGAGTTGGAGATTATGAGTGGAGTTTTAGAAGGATTTTGTCAGGTGGCATGGGCTGTCACAGAAAAAAAACCAAACAAATCCAAGACCTTTGAAATCTTTGAAATATCTCCTTGCATCCCAGGACCCTGCTTTCAACAGTGACTATTTCCTACGCCTGGGAAGGAAAAAAAGGGAAAGGCACGTGCCACAATCTGTACAGAGGGGAGAATTAACCATTTTTGAGCCTCCCCACTGTTGCAACTTATATTATCCTACTTTGGCTATTTCCCGAACCACAGCAGGAAGCTCGAGACAGAAATAGTTAGCAGCTGATAGCCTCAGAGAAGACTGCAACAGCCAAGACTTTGCAAGACCGGCAAGTGGACCTGACTTTAATGGTGGAAAACACAGCAAGGGGCATGTCATGATCTGTGCAGGACTGGGAGCAAGGCCTAGTGCAGCCTGGTCCCAGAAGAGACCAGTGTGGGAGTGGAAAGTAGACAGCCTACAATCCCCATAATGCTTAGAGAGGGTTGTAGCCAAACAGTTTCCAGAGATTCTGTGAGGAGATTCTGACTTAAGCTCTGAGGGCTGTGGAAACTGTCTTCTTTCGTCTCTCATCTGCGGTCTGGTCTCACAGAGGGGACAGGCTGGTCTGGTGAGAGAAAAAGATCCCTCACTGGGGACAGAGTGAGAACAGGTAGCGTAGCCTGGCAGGCTGTGGGCCTTGAAGTAGTAACCAGTTAAGCGAACTAGGTAGTTGTGTTAGGTTTGTGTTTATTGTGCCTTTTAAACACTGTTAGATCTTTTAGAGCACCTTGTCTTGTGTTCCTTGCCCCAGTACTGTGTTAATAAAGCATTCTGTTTAATTGTTATCTGCCTGGTCATCACGCCTATGTTCTCGGCTTAAAAGGGGGCATTTTTGGATGGGCTTGGGAGAGTACTCTGGGCCTTCTCAAGGGACCCGAAGTCCAGAGTGGTGGCGGCGGAAGGTGGCAACCCCCTGGAGGTCATGACAGGGCCAAAACAAAAGAATCGCTCGGCACTTCCGCTGGAGGGAGACGGGAATTACTGCCGGCTTTTCTGTTTCAGAGGAAGAACCTTCCGCAGGCACACCGATGCCAGCGACTTGTTGCTCCTTCGCTTCCAGACTGCAGGCAACTGCTGACCACTCACTGTCCTGAATTACCAGCAGTGTTAACTATGAGTAGCGACCGTTGCCAAGCAGAGGGAGAGAAGGCTGGTGAGCACCCAGTGTCTGCTAGGACTAGCAGTGGCTTCTCTGGCCTGGGTGCTGCCTTTCCCGGGAGGAGGCTGGCAGTTCTCTCAAAGGCAGTCCACGCCTGGCCTTTTCTGCCTTCTCTCCCTCCCCTCCCACAAAGGAGAGGAGGAGGAGGAGATTGGATTTATACCCTGCCCTTCACTTGGCGTCTCAGAGCAGCTTACAAACTCCTTTCCCTCCCCCTCCCCACAACAGACACCGTGTGAGGTAGGCGGGGCTGAGAGCGCTCTCTCGAGAACTGCCCTTGGGAGAACAGCTCTGAAAGAACTTGTGACTGACCCAAGATCATCTAGCAGCTGCAAATGGAGGAGTGGGGAAATCAAACCCGGTTCTCCCAGATTAGAGTCCGCGCACTTAACCACTACACCAAACTGGAAACACGTGGGGCCTGGTGGGGCCAAGGCAACCTGCTCCTGCCAGTCGGGAAACTTGAATTTGTAAAGGTGGAACACGGGAAATTCAAAACCAGACGATGGAGCCACCTTTCTTCTCATGGACTGTCCTTTCCCTGCCCCCCCCCACTGCTTCTCCCCCCCCCCACCCTGATTTCTGTCTCTCTGAGCAAGCAGCAAGTACAAGGTAGAGGGTGGGTACCACCGAGAGGTCACGGCCGGGGACTGTCTGTAGGAAAGCAAGGTGGGAGGGAAAGGGATGAGGAGGTGGAAAACAAACCAAGACAAAGAAAATAAATAAATAAATGTATATATGTGTATATGTATGCATGTATAAATATATATATACACACACCTTACGAAAGGGGAAAAGGAGGGAAGGAGGAGACGTTACAGAGGTAATGGAGAGAGGAGGATAAAGGAATTCCAACATCGCAACATTAGAGCAGAGCAGAAACAGGCTGTGAGGAATTCCTGAATGCAAAAAAATAGCAGCCTCTGCCGGGTGGCGGCGGCGGGGGGAAACTCGAAGATTAACATGGCCGAGATGCATCCGTTGGGTGGATTCAGAGAAAGGAATGTTAAATCGCATGCACAGCTTAAAGCGTTAAAAACACTCACAGCAGAAGAATCAGCCCAGCCCCTTTCCATGTGAAACTCGCCTCCCCACATGACGACAGAAGAGACACCCCCCCAAAAAAACACCCATTTGCCCCGAAAGGCCCATGTTACGTGCCTGGGGCCGCGGGTCTTGAACAGGGGGGGGTCTCTGCTGCCGGTTTTTTAACCTCTGATGATATAACCTGGCATTGGGATGGGAGACCCAGTTTATGGATACCGGGGTGATCTTCAGAGTCTATGCCGATGACCCCACATCTTTTGTGCGTATTTCACCAATCCTTTAAAAGCTAGAACCAAGTAGGTAGCCGTGTTGGTCTGAAGCAACAGGACAGGGTTTGAATCCAGTGGCACCTTTCAGACCAACAAAGTTTTCCAAAAGTTTAAATGATTATCTGTCTTCTATTCTACGGGAATACTCCATTCCGGATGACTTAATGGGCTTAGCGGACAATGAAACACAAAAGTCCAAATTGAAGGAATGGGTATTTCATATAGACGGCCTTTTGAACCTTCATGCGGCAGCAAGTTGCCGAACGGCCCCCCCTGTTTAAGATCTTTAAAAGAGATCATGGTAGGACTGGTTATTTAGAGAAACTAACCAATCTTGACCTAAGGAGGGCATTTACAGCCCTCAGATTCCATGCCATTCCTTCAATGGTTTGTATTTGTCGCTTTATGGGTCTACCTGTTGCCTTAAGAATCTGCCAATGTGGTTTGGGCGAAGTGGATGATATTGAGCACTATTTACTGAGATGCTCATGGCACGAATCACTTAGGCAGACATTTATATACCCTATTTTACCTCTGCACAATGGACTCTCAAAACAGGAGCTGGTTGTTTTTTTGCTCTCTGATACGGATGTATATGTTACCAGCAGAATGTCCTTCTTTGCTTTGGCGGCAAAAAAAGATAAGATTAAGGTTAGGATTCAGCGTAAGTCAGTGAAGGGATATCTTAATGTGATGTACAAGGGTGTGTGTGTATTTTTGTTTTGTTATGGCCAATGGCTAATACAATAAACTTGATGATGGTAATGACCAACAAAGTTTCATTCTGGGTATAAGCGTTCCATGGTATCTGAAGAAGCGCGCATACAGGCTTATACCCAGAATTAACCTTTGTTGGCCTTAAAGGTGCCACTGGACTCAAACCTTGCTCCTTTCAAAGCTAAGCAGCCTTTCAGGCTGGATTGAAGGTGCTAATGCCCAGGACTTAAAAACCCTACGTAACTTGGACTACAAGAGAGACTGCTTTCTTTCCTGTGACCCACTGTGGCTCTTAAGGACCCTACCCAGGAACCCCCTTGGACTGGTAAGCAGTCCACCCGCATTAGCTAAATCGCATGCTACACAAAGGGCAAGATTTAAACAAACACATTTTTTGTGTGTGCAGGGAATGCTCATCACGTGGTGAAAAATTCCAGTAAGGCAACTTGTAAACGAGGTCCCATATGGTGAAACAGAGATACAACTTTGAAAACAAAAACAACTTATCTCCAGTATTCTGGGATCCCCCCCCCCCCCAAGGTTGTACTTTTGGGTGAAGCTGAACCAGTTTGATCGTAATGGCTTATGTGAGGGATGGGGTGGAGGAATGACAGGGTCTTCTCACCACAAGGTAAGATTCCCCTTATGATGGAAAAAGCTGGTTCGCCGTCACACAGTCTAAAGACCTCTTAGCATGAGAAGCTTGACCCAGGGCTCCTGCACAGGCAAGAGGGGTGGCATGCAGAAAGCGCAACACTTTTCCCAAACGGAAAACAGGAGAGGGGGGGATGCAAACAAAAAACAAAACAGGACACAGAGAAGTCAAACAAAAGGCACCACCATAAAAAAAAAGGACGCCAAAGTTCAAGGGGGAACATCAGCGGGGTGAAGAGCACCGGGTGCGCCCTTGCAGCGCAGCCTCGGGGTGGGGTGGAGGGACAAGACAGACAGCCCCATGCCGTTCCGAAAACGTCACCCCGTCGGAAGCCTCCACTGACCTCTAACTTGTTGTTCCAGGTTCAGAATAACCGACACGGCCTGGTGGAGAATTAGCAGTTTGGTCTGAGGTTTTTCGCTGTTAAGGTGAAGCTGGCACATACGCCCAAGCTCTTTAAAGGCCTCGTTGATGTCGCGGACCCGCAGGCGCTCGCGGGCATTATTGGCGACCCGCCTCTCTTTCTCTCGCTCGGCTTTTTGCTCTGGGGGAAGAAGGTCGTCTTCCTCATCCTCATCTTGACTATTAATTTGAAATAAGAACGAAACAAGGGTGGGGGGACGTTTTTCTCATGTGTACACCTCAGCACCGGTTCACGTAGACCAAAAATATAAAGGGAATTTAAACACACACACACACACACACACCCCCCACCCCCTCCCATTTTCTGAACTGGAGTAAATGGCACCCATTCTGCTTGGAATCCCCCGAGGCCAGCTCTTTTCGAACTGTGCGCCAGGGTAATCCCGTCCGAATTTCCGTTGTCAATATGACTAAGAGCAGACAAGCTCCCCCAAAGCCATGCACTTCCTGATCGCTGAACACGAGGAAGGGTCTGCCCCCCTTCTGTCCCACATCCCTCAGTCCGGCTGTGTTCCAGAGCAGCCCTATTGGGGATTTCTTAACCTGTCTTCCCCCACCCCGGCTGTCTTTCCCATTATAAGGGAGCCTCGGGCATGTCCTCAGGTACGTATCGGTTTACGGAGAGTACTGGCAAAAGCTCAATAGGCTTGGCCAGCATCCTGGGTGAAGCCAACTGGCACATCCAAAGACTCCCCCCATCCCTGGAACCAATGTTCCCTCTAAGCTGTGGAGTCTTGTGAGCAAAAATTCTACTTCATGAGCTCCTGGCATTAAAGTTGTGAGCGCGCAATGTGGCTACTGCATAAATCAGTTCGCTCTGGAGCCCTCCTTCCTGAGCTAAGACAAAAATGTGTGAGCTGGAGGCTAAAAAACGGTGAGCTAGCTCACACTGACTCAGCTTACAGGGAACACTGCCTGGAACCCTCGGCAACACGCAGGGATTCCACGGTGATCCCTGTGGGATAAACACCCAGGCAGTTTGAAAAGGACTGTTGGAAATTTAGCGAGTTTTCTACCCCGAATAAGGAGTGGCCCACCGTAAACACCCACGCACACACACTCACAATGCCAGGAGAATGAACACAAACGAACAAAACGAATCCCACTTCGGTGTCAACTCAGCCACTGGAGATCAAAGCCGGGGCTGCTTGGGCTGACAACACCTCAGAAGCCCTGCGCCCTCTGTCTGCCCATGTCGCCCCTCGCCCTTAAAGGGAACAGAGAAAGGTCAAGACCTGTTCAGTGAGCACCTTGTTCTGTTCCGGGACGGCTTGAGCTCCTTCTTCTCTTCCTCCGAGTTGTCCGCCACGGACGTGTTCTCGTCATCCTCCTTATCTTCCCGCTTGATCTCGCTCGTTCCCGACGAAACGCTGGCTCGCCCCAAGCTCCCCGTCAAGCCTGTGAGGGAATCAGAGCAGCGTGTCAGATGGGGGCCCAAGGAGTGCAGCTGCCGTGGCTCACCTGAATGAAGGCACCATTTGGGTAGGACGGGTTATAGCCCGGGGAGGGGGGTTTCAGCCATGCAACAGACAGCCTACCCATTAGGTACGCTGGGCTGCCTCAGTACAGCATCGGGCACCAGGCTGACACACCTCTGAAAAGGTTACGCAGCCTGAGGGCTGTAAGGCTGCCAATCTCCAGGCGCGGCCCAGAGACCTCCCGTAATTCCAGTCAAGCTCCAGACAATAGAGATCAGGTGCCCCGGAGAAAATGGCTGCTTCGGAGGGTGTACTCTAGGACAATATACCATGCGGAGCTCCCTCCCCTCCCCAAACCCCACCTTCCCTAGGCCCCACCCCCAAATATTATGGAATTTCCCAGCCTGCTGTTGGCAACGCCTGACTCTCCCTGGTCCAAAAGACACCAGATTGGCCATCACCAGAGCGAAGGCCTTCTCAGTGGCGGCTCCACACTGGTGGAATGAACTCCCGGAAGACATCAGGGCCCTGCGGGACCTCTTACAGTTCTGCAGGGCCTGTAAAACAGAGCTCTTCCACCAGGCCTTCGATTAGAAGCCGCCACTGACGAATGAGCTATCGAAAACTTATGTTACAACTTTGTTATGTTATGTTACAACTTATGTTAAAACTTATGTTACAACTTTGGATATCGGCCTTCCTACATCGGACCATCTTATAGCAATCGCCATCTGCACTTACTTGCACTTTATGTAAATTGTTTATGTGAAACCTTTATTGTATTTTATTGCTTTTATTATATTTTAACTTGTTGTATGCCACCTTCAGCCAGCTTGCGCTCGCAAGGCAGGATATAAATCGAACGTAATAAACAAACAAATAAACAAACAAACCCTAGAGGGCCAAGTGCCATATCTTAAAGCCCTCGAAAGCAGCAGAGATCCAGATGTGGCCCATCGTGGCAAACAAATTGCCTGTCTCCAACTTCTTGGATGACACACGCCAGCATTCTGCATTATCCATGCACAAATGGTGTGTGTGTGAGGCTTAGGGCCACGATGCCTGAAGGACCACCTCCTCCCATACCGTCCAGACCATCAATTAAGACCTGGCTCACCAGCCTTGTTCTCTGTGCCCCCACCTTCAGAGGTGAGGTGGACGGCGACCAGAGAAAGAAAGGAGTTTCTCAGTAGCGGCTCGTCTGTGGAATACTCTTCGCCTTGAGGCTCACTTTATGCCGGCGCTGCTTTGTTTTAGGGGCCAGGCAAAAACATTTTTGTTTAACCAGGATTTTTAATTATGCGGTTGATCTTTTAAAATCATTTTCTGGTGTGCTTTTGCCCTGACCCGGATAGCCCAGGCTAGCCTGATATCATCAGATCCCAGAAGCTAAGCAGGGTCGGCCTTGGTCAGTATTGGGATGGGAGACCAGCGAGGAAGTCCAGGATTGCGGCGCAGAGGCAATGGCAAACCCGCCTCTGAAAGTGTCTTGCCTGGAAAACACCACCAGGGGTCGCCAGAAGTCAGCTGTGACTTGATGGCCGAAAAGACACAGAAAGAAAAAGCATGATTTTAAGAAACAGAAAGAAAAAGCATGATTTTAGTCTGAAAATCACTGAATTGATTTTAAGCTGTTGAATGATCTGTTTTTTTAAAAAATCCTCTGGCTATAATAAAGTCTGGATTTTAATGTATAACTTTTAACATTTGTGTTTAATTATCTTATCTTGTAACCCGCTTTGGGCAGGCTCCCCAGGTAAAACAACATAAAAATGTCCTAAGTGAGTGAAATAATACTGTGCATCTCCTGTGCACAGAACATCAAGAACCTCCCGTGCACAAAGCATCAAGACAAGAAAAAGTAGTGGTTAAGCAAGACAGAAATGGACTGAATATATGAGACAATAGCAGAGTGGAATATTGGCTAGACAGTGATATAACAAACAGGAAGAAGGGAGTGGGAAGAAAGAAGGCGGTCAGGGAATTCAACACTAGAGTAGATAGTAGAAAGGAAGTTTGGGCTTTGTGGAAGTGGTGGGAATAAGACAGAGAGGTAGGAAGAGGAAGAGGAAATAGAAACAAGGTATAAATACACTAGGAAGTAAGGTGAAAATATACTAGGAAATAGAAACAAGGGAGAAACAGCAGAAGTAATAGGTATAATATAAATACAAAATGTAAGAATAAAATAAATAAAATTAAATTAAACAAGTAAAGTATTAATAAGGGAATTAATACCATCTCTCTCATATATATATATATATATATATGAGTATATTATATATAAAATAAGTTAAAACAAGATACTTATGGCAACTGGAGGGAGTGGCAGCAGTGGTAGTAATAGGAAACCATCTATACCATCCCCAGGTCAAGTACAGTTAAAAATAAACACAATGAGTAATATGCAACTATCGCTTAAGGACTTAAAATCCATGATACAAGAATGTGTAACGCAGGCCATGAAGAAGGAAACTGAACCTATCCATGAAAAAATAGACTCTTTGACACAACATATTAAAGTGGAAACGGAAGAAATAAAAAAACAAATAAGTGAGAATAGACAAGAAATCATAAAAATTACCAATAAAAGTTATAAGAGAGAAAAAAAGATTAATGAATTAGAATACGAGGTACAGGAGCTGAAGTTAAAAATGATAAAATAGAGGAAACACTAATACATATTGAGATGGATAAGGCGGCACTGATAATGAGATGCCAAAATATCCCAGAGGACATAAACAAAGATCTTAAATCGAACGTAATAAATAAATAAACAAACAAACTCTAGAGGCAAAACAATTAGAGGTAGGAACTAAAGAGGAAATATCGAACGAAATAGAGGCGATATATCGTAGAAATTCAGCTTATACAAGAAAATATAAAAAACCAAGGGAGACACAGATAAAATTTTACAGAAGAGAAATGAAAGTTAAAATCATAAAAGCTGCCAATGAGAAGAAAATAACAATAAATGATATAGAGATTAATTTCCTAAAGGAAACACCCTGGCGAGTTAGAGACAAAAGGAAAGAATATGGACTATTGACAAGTATATTGAGGAAGAATAAAATTGTGTATCATTGGTTGATACCAGAAGGAGTTCTATTTACCTATAGGAGTAGGAGACAACGGATAGACTCCGTATTCAAAGTAGAAAACTTCCTGGAACAGTATGGAGAAGAATTAGGGTGGCAAAAAGAAGGATCTGAAGAAGATGAAGAAGGAGGAGAAGAAGACGATGACGAAGAAACCCCGGAGATGGGAATGGAGGAGGGAAAACCAGAACAAGAGAAGGGGAGTGATAAATCAGGGAAGGAAGAAAAAATTAAGGACAATACCATCTCAAATACAAACAAGGTATCAATATAAAAACAAATTCGTGAATACCAAGAAATAAATTTATAGGATATGTCAAGGGATAGAAAATTTAAAATTTTATCGATAAATGTTAACGGATTTAACAGACCCCCCAAAAGACAAAAGATATTCCACCAAATTGTTAAAATACAGCCAGAGATTATTTGTTTACAAGAAACACATATTAAAAAAAAGTGATAGTAAATACCTAACATGTACGAAATCAGGTAAAGAGTTTATAGCAGCTGACAAAAAGAAAAAAACGGGGTGATAATATATGCAAAAGAGACACTTTCTCCGGAATTAATCTATGCAGATGAGGAAGGCAGGATTATAGTAATTAAAATAAGATGGCAAGACAAGGAGTATGTAATAATAAATATATACGCGCCAAATCAAAAACAGGAACCATTCTATAAAGCCCTGTATGAAATGTTAAGAAAAATAGAGGGACAAAATATATGTGTAGTGGGAGACTTCAACGCGGTATATGATAAGGAAATGGATAGGAAATCACACTGTAAAAAAAGGAGCCAAGTACTGCCGAAAATATTCTTACTTAGCAGAAGAGTACAACCTATTAGATGCGTGGAGAACTAGAAATATAAAAACAAAAGACTATACTTTTTATTCCAACAGGCATAACTCGTGGTCTAGAATAGATATGGCATGGGTGACAGTTAGTTGGATGCAGGAAATGTTGGAGGTGGAACATTTGCCAAAAACATTTGCAGACCACAACCCCATACTGCTCACATTTAAAGAGTCAAAGAAAAAACCAAGGTGGAGATTGAATACTGGTTTATTGAGTGATAAAGATTTTATAAAGAATACCAAGTTAGAAATCCAAGACTTCTTTAAGAGAAATATACAACAAGATATATCTATATCAACAGTATGGGACACATTTAAAGCATATATAAGAGGGTGGTGTATTAACCAGGATGCTTGGAGAAGAAAGAAAAGAAAGGAAACATATATAAGGTTGGTACAAACAATCTCAAAGGAAGAGGATAAACTTAAGAAAAATGGAGGTAAAGAAAGGAACGGAAAATTGAAAATATTGCAACATGAAATGAATCTATATTTAACTCAAGAGGTAGCCAAAAAAAAAAATAGAATACGTGAAACAATATTTCTTTGAGAATACAAATAAGCCGACAAGATGGTTATCATATAGACTTAAGAAAGAAAGAGAAAAACGCACAATAATAGCTTTAAAGGATGAAAAAGGGAATTTAAAATAGGGTATACAAGAACAAAAAGAAATATTGGAAAAGTTTTATAAGAAATTATATAAGCAGAAGATACAAAATGAGGAACAAATCCGTACATATCTGCAAGAATGTGGACATAGAGAATTTGAGGAAAAACATAAAGACATATTAAATGAGAAAATTTAAGGTAGTGGAAGCTATTAACAAACAGAAGAAGAAAAAATCACTTGGCCCAGATGGGTTACCAGCAGAATTGTATCAACTATTTGAAGAGCAGCTTAGCCATCCTTTTAAAGAGGTACTCCAGAATATACAAAAAACAGGAAAACTACCCAGTACATGGTATCAAACCGTAATTGCCCTAATAAATAAGGCGGACACGGACGATACAGAAATTAAAAATTATAGACCAAAATTGTTACTGAATGTCGATTATAAAATCTATGCGAATATATTAGCAACGAGATTTAAGAAAGTTCTAGATCAGGTAATTCACCAGGATCAAGCAGGATTTCTGCCAAAAAGACAGATAAAAAGTAATATGCGGACAATTCTAAATATCATAGAATATTATGAACAACACCCAGAAAAGCAAATGGCATTGATGTTTATGGATGCAGAGAAGGCATTCGATAATTTATCTTGGGAATTTTTACTGCAAAAACTAAATAGATGGAATTGTGGAACACAATTTCTAACAATGATTAGTGCAATATATAAAGTACAGTATGCCACTGTGATTATAAATGGAGGTACATCCTCAAGAATAGAGATACAGAAAGGAATGCGACAGGGATGCCCGCTATCACTGCTGTTGTTTATATTTGCATTGGAAACACTACTCAACAGGGTAAGAGAAAATGACCAAATAAAAGGATTGAAAACAAAAGGGGAGGAGTATAAAGTACCAGCTTATGCGGATGATGTAATATTTATAATGGAGAGCCCAATAAAGACGAGTCAATATCTACTAAGTAGTATTCAGGAATATGGAGATAATGCAGGTTTAAGAATAAACTTGAACAAGACTAAAATAATAACAAAAATTGTACATCCAAGGTAATTCAAGAGTTATATAAAGTAACAAATGTTGAAATTGTTAAAAAGTAAAATATCTAGGAATAACTTTATCTAATAGAAATAGTTCTCTTTTGCAGGATAACTATTATAGGTTATTGGAAGAGGTGAAGAAAGATTTAGATAGATGGCAAGGTAATTCAATTAGCATTAATGGGTAGACTAGCCACTATAAAGATGATGGTACTTCCAAAATTCTTATTTTTAGCACAAAATATCCCCATATTGAAAAACTATAAATTCTTCACGGAAATGGACAAAGAGATTAAAAAATTTATCTGGCACCCAAAAAGGGCTAGAATTAAGTGGAAGATGCTGCAAGAGAGGAAAGAAAGAGGAGGGTTTAGGACTACCTAATTGGAAGTTGTATTATCAATCTTTCGCATTATGCTGGATAAAAGAATGGTTAATATTAGATAATGTTAGAATATTAAACCTAGAAGGGCATGACCTGAAGATGGGATGGCATGCCTACATATGGTATGGAAAGGACAAGATACACTCAAACTTCAAACAACATATGATAAGGGGTGCACTACTGCGGACATGGAATGAAATTAAAGAAAAATATTACAGAAAGACTCCAAAGTGGGTCTCACCATTAGAAGCATATATAAAACCATCGCTTATAAAACCATGTGATAGAGAAAGCTATGAAACTTTATTAAATGGGAATAATAAGAAAATCAGAAGAAATTTTACTAAAATTATATAATATCGCATTAACACGGTAAGAGATGATGCAATTAAGATGCAGTAGTAGGATTTCAGGAAGAAAAAACACAGTTAGATAGGATTTGGTTATCTACAAGCGATAAAATGATTCAGAGAATATATAGATTTTTGTTGGATGAATACCAGTTAGATGAGAGGGTAACCTCTACAATGATAACATGGATGAAAGATGTAGGACATACAATTGATCAATGGGAAACCACATGGAAGACATTGAAATATATGAGAGCAATTAATTATAAAGAGAACATTTATAAAGTGTTTCATAGGTGGTATTGATCTCCAGATAGGATAAGTAAATGGCAATCATCGACATCAAACGTATGTTGGAAGTGTAAAAGAAATGTAGGGACATTCTTTCATATGTGGTGGCGCTGTGGGAGAACGCAAAGATATTGGAAGATGATACAAAAATAGTATTAGATATTATGGACTTAAAATTGGTATTAACGCCCGAAATAGCTTTATTAAATATGGTACTGGAGAGTTATAAACAAAATGTTGAATATCTGATACTATACATTTTGACAACCGCAAGGATAATGTTGGCCAGGTACTGGAAGCAAAATAAATATCCCACAAGAGAGGAAATAATTCGTAAACTGTTAGAGGTAGCAGAAATGGATAAGTTGTTTGGCATTACAAGGCAAAGATGAAAGTGTATTTTTTGGAAGATGAGGAAGTATGTATAATTGGATTTATAAAGTGTGGAAAATACAGACTCAAATATATATATGTATAAATATATGTAAACAATAATTACGTGGAAAATCAATAAATATATTATTAAAAAAAAGAACCTCAGTTTTCGTGAGATGACAGACACACAAAAAAGGATAGCAAGTGTCTAGTCTTTAAGAGAAGAAGAGAAGAGATCGGATTTATACCCCGCCCTTCACTCAAGAGTCTCAGAGTGGCTTACAAACTCCTATCCCCCTCCCCTCCCCACCACAGACACCCTTGTGAGGGAGGTGGGGCTGAGAGAGCTCTGACAGAAACGGCTCTTTTCAAGGACAGCTCTGACAGAACTATGGCTTGCCCAAGGTCATCCAGCAGGTGCAAGTGGAGGAGTGGGGAATCAAACCCAGTTCTCCCAGATTAGAGTCCACGCACTTAACCACCGCACCAAACTGGCTCTGCAACCCCGAGTAGCAGCAAAGATGTGCTTGGAAGAGCAAGAAAAATGCCTACCGAGACCTCAAAAGGCAAAGGGGGTGGTGGGGCTTGGAAGGCAACTCTGTGGAACAGTCCTGGGTGAAACAAAAGCCAGCAGCACCACAGTCCGACTATCAGATGGTTCAAAATCAGAATGGCTGATACTTCTTTTCCATTGGGGATTGAGAAGGATCAGACAAGGAACACAGACCAACCAAATGGAAGCTCCGTGTTCAGACCGCAGTCTATCTCTGACTATCAGGGATCCGGAAGGGCTCTTCTTATGTTGTCTTATGGAGGGCAAGCCCATCCGTGGCTATGAACCCGGGGAACTGGATGGAAACTCCATGGAACTAAGCAATCTAACGGTAACCATCCAATGTTGGGGATTGAGCTGCATGGACAGCTGCTGCCTTTGTACCCTGCTCCTGGAAACTGAGGTCCGTGGACCTTCGGTCTGATCCAGCAAGGCATTCTGATAGCTTCCTTTGTTTTCTCTTTACAAAACTCAGCTGCAGAAAAAAGGAAATGGGGGTCCTAAGCCCTTGAGGGTTGTAAGGCGATTGCCTTACACTAGCTCAGCCCCCTTTCATCGTCTACCTTAACTGGCAGTGGGTCACGGGGGGGTCTGAGGTTGTGAAAAGTCTCTCTCTACATGGCTGCCCACGTTCCTCTGGCTGATCTATCGCTGCCTTATACAGAGAGGGATTACTGGTTCTCTCCACTCCTGTCTTGTCTTTAAGCTCCAATACAAGATAAAGCACAGTGGCACAGCGGTATAGGCTAACCAAGAATGAAATGCATGTGCCAAAAACCAATTATTAAACATTTATATATATTTACTGATATTTCATTTTAAATGACTCACTGTCACATAGCAAATCTTTCTATGAAATGTATCACAAGTAAATGGACAGGTAGAAAGCTAACAGGTAAAAGTTTTGTTCATTGACGTCTTTGTAACAATTGTTTCAAGAGAGTCCTTTTCAACTCTTAAGGATGTGTTTCCTCGCATATAGTCTCTCTCTACACGGCTGCCCAAGTTCCTCTGGCTGATCTATCGCTGCCTTATACAGAGAGGGATCACTGGTTCTCTCCACTCCTGCCTTGTCTTTAAGCTCAGCGTCAGTCCTTTCAGCAGAGGGGCCAAGGACTGAACCCAGAATCAGCAGCATCCAAATCACACGCTCCAACGAGCGTTGGGTCGCACTCAAAGTAAAAGGCTGATAAAAACCTACGAAGCCTCGTTCTTGTAGCTTGGTATTGCCTGCTCTTACTGCCGGCCGCTCTCCAGGATCTTAGGATGAGAAAGGTCTTCCCCTGCTACCTTAACCGGAGATGCCACAGGAGTGAACTTGGGGACCTTTTGCATGCAAAAGAGGTGCTTGACCCCCTTCACCTTCTTGCCCTGGTGCAATGCAGCCTTACCACTAAAGGCATCCGACTGTCCTCTGTTAAGGTCAGGGAGTGAGCTGCCCTGCGCCGGGAGAGCAACATGGTTGTGGAGTAGACTGGGATTGCTGGGGAGGCTGTCTTCGGGGTGACCTCCTCCGACCTGCAACGGGAGAACACAAAAAAGGCAATCTGCATGGGGCACCCTGCAATCGGAAGGGCGCAACCCCCCCAAGAATGTCACTTTCATTCCAGCAGAACGAGGATGAAGGCACAGAGGATGAAAGTCCTCATAATCATCCCGTGTCTGCAAATATTCCCATCCGACAGATGAGCCAACGTGTCCGTCCAGCACTCTAAAGGGGAAGTCCACGCCCCGGGTCAGATTCAAATCCACGCCTGCCCTAGAACCAAGGTCCCTCATGCCACCGCTGGCTTTCTACAGAATGCAACCGACGTTTTGGAAGCTCTGTCACGTGACCAGGGCTTTTGTGTGTGGAAAAAGTCCAGCAGGAACTCATTAGCATAATAGGCCACACCCCTGACAGCACAGCTTATTGTCAGTATAGGCCACACCCCCATGTTACCAGAAGTGTGCTCATCCAGCCACACCCACCTTTTGCTTCTTATTCTGTTTACCTTGTTTGTTGTCCAAACCCAGGGCCTTTTTGTAGCAGGGACTCCTTTGCATGTTAGGCCACACACCCCTAATGTAGCCAATCCTAATGAGTTTCTGCTGTTGGGTGTGGCCTATTATGCTAATGAGTTCCTGCTGGGTGTGGCCAACTTGGAAGCCAGTCGGAACGCCGTTCCTGTGCGTTCCTGCCCCCAAATAGCCCTGCACATGACTTAGAAGAGATGCCCAGAAAAGATCATACAGAATTTGTGACCCAGAGGGGCCGAGAGGCTTAAGCTATGGAACGGGAAGCCACAGGTTTGAACCCCACCACAACTGTTTGGGATGGGCTGAGTTCAGATGAGAATGCCCTTTTGCCTCTGTTCCCAACGATCACAATTTCATCCCTTTCTTCCTCCAGGGAGCTCAGAGTCTGCATATCTGGTTCCCCCTCCCCTGTTGATTTCTCCCAACAACCTTGTGAGGTCAGTTTGGATGAGAAATTATGACGGGCCTAAAGTCACCCAGTGAGCTCCGTGGCCGAGTGAGGACTTGAACCCCAGTCTCCCCAGTCCTAGCTCAGCACAGGAGCCACCCACCATTATTCCCGTCACGCTCACTCATGCTTCCAGTCCCTAGCTTACCAAATTTGAGTGCCGACTGGCAATTGGCAAGACCGAGGCAGGGGGGAAAGCTTGGTTGAGGCCGCCCACCGAGGTGCTGTGCCCAGATGTGGAAGCTAGCAAGCCGTGTATGTCTCCGTGGTTGCTCTGGCCCACGGCGTGGCTCCTCAAGACGTGGATCGCTTCGTCCAAGTGGTCTTCCATTTTGTTTTGCTTTGACAAAAAGGGAGAGAAGGTGCGCTTTCATATATGCTAAAGAATGCACCTTTGGTGCTCTTTAGCAATCCTTTGCAGGTGGATCTTGCTGTTCCACACAGTAAAATCCAGTTGCAAGGTGTGTTATTTAGCATGCGTAAAAATATTGCTGGTCTCTCTCTCTCTCTCTCTCTCTCTCTCTCTCTCTCTCTCTCTCACTGTTTCAGGCAGAGGGCTTGTCTTGATGGCAGACTCGTTCATTTTATATTTGAGTTAAGCTGATATTCAGGAGTGCCTAGAGAGTAGAAATTTTCTTTCCCAATATTGATAGTGTCCCCTTTTGTGACCTTTATAATGGTTGCAAAAGGGGACGCTATCGATAATGGGAAAGAAACCTCTACTCACAAGGCCAGAGGTGTTACAAGGGCCGGATCTGACATAAATGTCACTTTGCTGGGCCATGACATGTAATGCCAGGCACCAGAGATATAAACTTGATAAAGTACGCAGGCAAACCCAATTAACAATATTATTTTTTACTCAAAATACAAATGTGCTTAAAACATTAACATTCTTATATTCCTTACAGCATCTCTTGATGCCCGCCCCTCCCACTTCCACCGGCCGTTACGCATTCGGCCTGGGACAAAGTATACAGGATGCGCAGTCTCTGTCTTCTGGCAATAAAGGTAATCAGTTGCTTGTGGAGCAGATAAGCGCCCTGGACAGGCTGCTTTCGACCCGCGGGCTGTATACGTTTGACACCCCTGCTCTAGGCATTCTTGAATATCAGCTAACTCATGGAAATGTGATTCATCCACGCTGTTTCTCCTCTTCAGAACAGCTGGCTCATTCCTAAGAATGGTGCCCATATCACTTTCCTTTCTGAGTCCCAGCTGAAGAAACACCACAACCACCGTAGAGAGAAAGGACTAAAAGAGAACTATGAGGGCCCCCAGAGTCTGACTCTTCCTTTTCTCATCTCCACCCGCAAAAGGTCCCTTGAGGTAGGCAGTTGCTGTTGTCGCTTGACAGGCTGGGAAAAGAAACAGGCGTGACCCTCACACAACTCCATGGCTACATGGGGATTCCAACCAGGCCGGCCAAAGCGGCCAGCCTCTGACCCCTGCCTAGCCGACATTTACAAAACAGCTGCCGGGAGCAAAGGCAGAGAAGTGCCATGCTAACAAACCAGCCTTTGTTCACAGCTAAGATGAGCCATGTTTATTCTCAGTCTCACATGCTTTCTCCTTTTTAGATCCGGTTCTAGTCAGTTGTGAGGTCAAAATTCAGGTGCCTTAGCAAACTGGGGCTTGCTGCTTTTCCTGGGTATTGGGATTCTAAACCAGGATTAAATTATGGCTAAAACTCCAGGTGACTGAAGAAACAAACAAATACTAACCCCCCCCCCCCAGCTTCTTCATGTGTGCAAGTTTAACGCTTGAACAGATCAGTGCTGCCTCAATCGAGGGTATCTGCAATTGCAGGAGAGGGTGGAGCTTGAGATTTAACCAGACTTGTCATGAACAAACGCTGGCTTCCTTGAGATGCGAATGAGCTTGGAAGTTCTGCAGCTTAAACATTCTCCCCTCTCTGGGTGCACAAGCTGGGACACAGAAGGCATTCTTATGCAATCCAAACAGAGTTTGGGGCAAAACCACAAATCATTGCGTACAAATCAGGGTGGCCGAGGTATGACCTGACGGCAGCCTCAGAGCGACTCACCAAAGTATGGAGGGTCCCTTCGTAACTCGGGGATAAGGCACCCTGTCCGCCTGATCGGGGCCACTGCGAAGAACCTGGGTAGAGGACAAACACAGACAGAAAATGAGGTGGCCAGCTCTCGGTGAGACTCTCATGGCATAAGATGAGGAAGGTGCCAAGCGATGTACGATTCCCAATGAAAGGGCCACAAACAGGCATCTGTGTCTACAGCATTCGGTAAAGCAGACACCCCCCCCCTGAAAAATGCCTTTTCGGCATTTTTCGGGTATTCAGCATACCGACTCAGATTCCCTGATCTGATTTGGCTGCCGAATATAGAATGCCGAAAAAAACCTGAAAATATTCAGGTTTTCCCCAGCTTTTTTCAGCATTACCATATACAGGCGTGGCAGGGATTTAAACTTTAAAGGGCTCCACTTACCTTTTTCTCGCCATTTTTGTCTCTTTCCTGCCCTTTGCTCTGCTTTATAGGAGGGAGGGGGAAGAGAGACCTTACATACAGCCAATCACTGCAATGCATTAGCAAATGCCATTGCAGCGTGCAAGGCTGTTGTTGTTGCTGCTGGCTTCACTTGTTGAAGCCCAACTACTAACTTGCTGCTTTCCCAGAGGGAGGAGCACTGGCCAACAGGATTACAGGTAAGGATGGCATACTGCTCTTTGGCCAATCACAGAAGTTTATTCTTTTTTGAAATTCTTCTGTGCATGGCCAGGGGTCTCTGCCTGGCTGCTGGCTCCTGCTGCTGAGAGAGCCTGGGTTGGAGATTGTGTGGCTGGCTTCGGCTTCAGACACTGCTCTGAGCCTGCTTTCCTGCTGCTGACTATTGGACTACTTCGGATCAAGTTCCATCCTGCCTGCTGGACAACAGAAGACTGAAGACATCACTGGTTTGAATTATTTGGGCCACTTAAAAAAACTTTTCTAATTTTTTGTGGGCTGGTGGGTTTGGGGCCTAAGGGATCGGGGTGGTAGGTAGGTCTCTTGGCCCTAGGGCCTCTCAGCATCTTCCTGTTTGTTTTTCTTTTTTGGGGAGGTTCTTCTAGTTTGTGGTTTGTTGCCAGCCTGTTGCTTGCAGTTTAAAAGTTTTATTATTTTTTACTATGCTTGATATTTCTTGGCTTGTTTTTTTTTTTGGGGGGGGGTATTACTGACCAGGCCTTCTGCCTGGGGCCTAGGCTCTCTGTTTTTGGTTCTTCTGTTTTGTGGTTTTTCTGTTACCTTTTAGCAGTTTAGTAGCGGACAGACACTAACCCCCTCCCTCTGACTTTCTGAGGCATTACTGGACAGGGCTTCTCTGTATTTGTTTTGTGATTATGTGCTCAAGTTGACATCAGTTGAGCTGGGCTGGCATTTGCCACAATGGTACAGGGTTCACCTAGTAGGTTGGCACTGGGTTCTGTTGATAGGTATGTTGGCACTTGCTGCTAGTACTAGAACATTGCACTGGTTCTGCTGCTGGTCTTGCAAACATGCCCCCTCAGTTTATAGTATACTTCAGAGATTCTCAGGTTTGATCTCAGTCCTGTTGGGTTTTGGCACTGCCACAGTGGCACTGGTTCTGGTGGGCACATTGGTTATGCTGCTGGCCTTGCACACATCCCCCCCCCCCAAAAAAAAACACCACACCACACCTCACAGTTTCTGTTGCAGAGATGCTCTGGGAGAAACTGCTGGGCTGCTGGTTTTATATCTGCCTGCCTTTTCCCCCTTCCATAGGAAACAATGGAAGATTGGGGGCACGCTCTTTGGATGCCCCTAGAATTGGACCCCCTGGTCCAATCTTTTCCAAACGTGGGGATTCTTTTGGGGAGAGGCTCCAGCAGCTACAGTGCAAATTTGGTGCCTCTAACCTCAAACCCCCTCTCCCCAAGCCCCCTAAATACTCCTGAGAAGATTTTTGCCATTGACTACAATGGCCCCATAGGATATAATGGAGCTGAATATATTTGGGAATAATGAACATTTTCGGATACCAATACAATACCAGTATTGGTATTCAGGTATATTCGGGAATACCGGAAAAATGGGCTTTATTATACCCGAATCCAAAAAATCCTGATTCCCCCCCCCCCCCCGTCTATCTACAGCAGGTTTCCAATCCTCTGCCCCTTCCCTACAGGAACTAGCTCCAGAGCACAAAAAAGTGTGCACGGGCCAACACCTCTGCCTGGCCTGCTGCCCTCTCTAAGCCTCTGAGGAAGATAGGTAGCCAGATATACATTTGCCATCCTAACTATTCCAGACAAACAAGACAATATATTGTAGTTTAACGGTGTTTTGATAGCTGTCAAAATATTTCATGGCCGTGGGTCCCTGTTTTATGCTCTCCCCCCTCCCAGAATTCGCATCCAGGGCAGGAGTTCTTTGTTGCCCCTGATGGGGGAAAGAACACTTTCTCAACCTTTAGCATTCCTTTTAGATATAGCTAGAGAGGTGCAGAGAACCAGTCCAGAAGATACATAATCAAGACCTGGAGTTTTAGAAAATGTATAACAACTTTGTTACTGGAGAGTCCTGAAAAAAACCCTTGAGTAATCCTGGAGAAAAGAAGATGGGGTCTTTTATAGAGACAGATTTCCAACAAATACAAACTAAACATCCCCCCTTCCCCTCCTCAATTCAGCTACAAGTGAAGAGGTTGAGGACAATCGATCCCCCCCCCAACATGGCAGTTCTTAGGCTCTGTTGCAACACCTCCACACAGTCACTAGATGGAGCCAGTGTAATACATATTTCACATCAAAATCTGTCTTCTCAAACAGTACTTGAAGAAGGTCAAGAGCCCTGCATCCAGACTAGTGATCCATCTAGTCCAGCAGCCTGTCTCACACAGTGGCCAACCAGCTCCTCTGGAGGTCCAACAACAAGGCATAGAGGCCGAGGCCTTTGCATGATGGTTCTTAACTGGCACTGCTATTCAGAAGTTTACTGTCTCTTAATGTGGAGATTCCCTTTGGTCTCCATGGCTAGTAGCCACTGATAGACCTCTCCTCCATGAATCTGTCTCATCTCCATTTAAAGCTGTCTATGCCTTAGGCCATCACTATACCCTCTGGCAACAAATTCCACATTCAGATCTCTCATTGAGCAACTACGTATTTCCTTTTGTCTGTCATAAGAACATAAGAGAAGCCAATGTTGGATCAGGCCAGTGGCCCATCCAGTCCAACACTCTGTGTCACACAGTGGCCAAAAATACCAAGTGCCCTCAGGAGGTCCAGCAGTGGGGCCAGGACACTAGAAGCCCTCCCCCCCTCCAAGCACCAAGAATACAGAGCATCACTTGCCCCAGAACGAGAGTTCCTATCTATACCTTGTGGCTAATAGCTACTCTTGGACCTCTGCTCCATATGTTTATCCATAAGAACATAAGAGAAGCCAGTGTTGGATCAGGCCAATGGCACATCCAGTCCAACACTCTGTGTCACACAGTGGCCAAAAATACCAGGGGCCATTAGGAGGTCCAGCAGTGGGGCCAGGGCACTAGAAGCCCTCCCACTATTGCCCCCCCCCAAGCACCAAGAATACAGAGCATCCCTTGCCCCAGACTGAGAGTCCCTATCTATACCTTGTGGCTAAGAGCCCCTGATGGACTTCTGCTCCATATGCTTATCTAATTCCCTCTTGAAGCCGTCCATGCTTGTAGCCGCTGCCACCTCCTGTCCTCCTTTAGGAAACCATCAGAAAACTTTGCAATGCCCTTTTCTCCACCTCCCCCGGCAAGATTCACTGCTTACCTGTTATTCCCTGAGGGGAACCCACCGGTGTGGATGGATTCGAAGAGAAATTATTGCTAGAGTGATCTGGGGAGTAAATCTGAAAAAAGGGTTGGGAGAAAGCGGGGGGGGGGGGAGAACATTTATTTAAAAGGTTTATATGGGCGCATATGCTCATTCTAGATGGAGGTGAATTGAGATGGGTAGCCGTGTTTGTCTGTCTGTAGCCATAGAAGAGAGCAAGAGTCCAGCGGCACCTTAAAGAATAACAAAATCTGTGGCAGGATAGGAACTTTCATGAGTCACCACTCAGTCCGTCAGATACTTCCATCACTAATGGGTGTCTGAAGAAGTGAGCAGTGGTTCACAAAAGCTTGTACCCCTGCCACGAATTTTGTTAAGTCTTTAAGGTGCTACTGGACTCTGGCTCTTTTCTCCTACTGTAGATAGAGGCGGTAGGAGCTGTTTAAAGCTGTCCTACTCATAGAGACAAGACGCTCCCTTTTGCATATTCGGCAGCATATCCGGCAGCAGCGCTCCAGGGTCTCAGGCAGAGAAAAGTCTTTCCTGCACCTGAGATCCTTTACCTGGAGATGCTTGGGACTGGAACTCAAACCCTTCCCGCGTTGCATGCAGATACTCCGACGCTGAGCCCCTCATGAAAACACTTCTGATCAGGGTGAAGCAGCCAGTAGCAGATTTTTAGGGGCAGCAAAAGTGAACTTCGGGGTAGAGGGACAGAGACCTAACACCCGTATGACCAATGTCTCCGGTGGTTTGGTAATGTGAGCATAGTTCCGTTTTAAGTCAAAGAAACAAAATCTCTCCCCAAAGTGAGAAACGGTTGTAATTATTCATCATATAGACAGTTCCCACCCCCAATCCAGAGTACCATCTGGGGGGGAAAAGCAATATTTAAAGCATTAATGGGATGATTTCATGCAGTCTGCACCTATGTATGGGGGGGGGGAGAAAGACACACTTCTAAGAAACAAACCAGTGTCAGGATTAATGCTCCATAAGAACATAAGAGAACATAAGAGATGCCAATGTTGGATCAGGCCAAAGGCCCATCTAGTCCAACACTGTGTCACACAGTGGCCAAAAATACCAGGTGCCATCAGGAGGTCCACCAGTGGGGCCAGGACACTAGAAGCCCTCCCACTGTTGGACCCCCCCCCAAGCACCAAGGAGACAGAGCATCACTTGCCCCAGAGCCCTATCTATACCTTGTGGCTAATAGCCACTGATGGACCTCTGCTCCATATGCCTATCTAATTCCCTTTTGAAGCCATCCATGCTTGTAGCCGCCACCACCTCCTGTGGCAGTGAATTCCATGTGTTAATCACTCTTTGGGTGAGGAAGGACTTCCTTTTATCCGTTCTAACCCAACCGCTCAGCAATTTCATGGAGTGCCCACGAGTTCTTGTATTGTGAGAAAGGGAGAAAAGTACCTCTTTCTCTACCTGTTCTCTCCCTCTAAGCTGTGGAGTCTTGTGAGCAAAAACTCTACTTTGTGAGCGACTGGCATTAAAGTTGTGAGCAGTGTTCCCTCTAAGCTGAGTTAGTGTGAGCTAGCTCACAGGTTTTTAGCCTCCGGCTCACACATTTTTGTCTTAGCTCAGGAAGGATGGCTCCAGAGCAAACTAATTTATGCAGCAGCCAAATCTCCTGCGCAATATGTTAATGCCAGTAGCTCACAGAGTAGAATTTTTGCTCACAGAGCTCCATAGCTTAGAGGGAACATTGGTTGTGAGCGAGCCATTTGACGACCGCATGAATTAGTTTGCTCTGGACCCCATCCTTCCTGAGCTAAGACAAGAATGTGTGAGCCGGAAGCGAAAAAACAACTGTGAGCTAGCTCACACTAGCTCAGCTTAGAGGGAACACTGGTCAGGATCTCATACCTCCTGGAGCGCTTTCCTTGTAAGGTTCAACAAGGGCAGACAAGGATCACCGCCTTGATTTTTAGGATTCCGGGGTGCCACTTACCGAAGCCAGTGCTTTTCCGAGAGCGTCCCCTGAACTACCAGCGGTGGTTCCTCTGTTACCTGAAGCAGGAAAGCAAGCAGAGAAAGGAAACAAAAAGGGGGTCGTTTATAAAATGGTAAGAGTTCAGGGGCTGTTGAGACCACCAACCCGCTCATCCCGCTCTCCTCTCCACCAGAATTCTGAAAGAAAGAAAAGCTTGGTGTCCATTAAAGGGCAAGCGACTAGTCCATATGGAAGGCACGCTTCACGGCCCGTGGCCCACACCTAGTGGAATCTCGGGTGGGTGTAGGAAAGATATTCAGTGGCCTGTGCTGTTCCTTGCCCTTCCCTGTGATTTGCAGAAGCCAAATCGATTATACAAATGAAGGGAAATGATGAAAATTTACATTATTCTTCCCAAAGCACAGAGAGAGAGAGAGAGAGAGAGAGAGAGAATATGGATATATGTGTGAGATTTTCACAATGCAATCCTAAAATCACTTTGAGCCCTCTTGAATAGACCTCAGCTAGATTCTGAGTAGACATGCATAGGATTTGTCTCTTAAACACCCAAAACCTGATGCTGGATCATCTTTGCGAGACGATGCAGAAAGCCCCTCCTTTAATTTTTACCAGGGCACTCTATTATACACACATAAAATGATCCGCCAAAAATAAGGGTCTTTGGGGTTGTGCTTGTTGCTTTAAAACACACACACACACACACACACACACACACACACTTCCTAGTTGGTGTTGAGTTAATTTCAGGGAAGCGGTTTTCTACCAGCTTTGCAGTGGGTGCAAGAGGATTAGAGGGTGCCGGGTTTTAGCTTGGCGTTGCCAACACAGTTCCCCAGTGTATTCTCGCTTCTGTCTGACAAAGGTTCCCCCCCCCCCCCCTCCCTTAAGCTGATCCATATTATCTCCCCTTTCTGGATCTCATTTTGCAATGGCACATCCCAGGGGGGGCGATCAGAATGATTCTGGCCCCGAATTAGCCATGCCGGGACACAGAGCTCGGCCATTTCCATCGCCTCCCTCTGCCGCCCAACACGATGAGGCCTTCAAACCCCACATACTAAACTTAAGACTATGTTCAGGCTGCCCTGCGGAGACACCATGGCTGGAATCCCGGCTGTGTGTGTGCTATCGGCCACGGAAGGGATGCGTAGGGGATGAATCCTGCCTCTTTGGCCGTCACGAGGAAGACAGGAATTACTGTGTACAGTTCCCCAGACGGCGGCTTAACACCCAGCGGGTCTGTTTCGGCCTGTGTATCTGTAACAGCCACTCCCACAAGGATTAACCTACATGCATGGGGAAAGAAGGAGCTGAAGCTAAATGCAACAGCCAGAATTCACCTGAAACAGGTGGGGGAAAGAAAAAGTCTGGTATAGGCATCCAAGGCTGCCCTGTTGTCTGCACCAAAATGCCCGTTATCCTAACCATATACCCTACGGCTGCCAACAGTCCCCTTCCTGGTCCAGCTCCCACTGATTTAAACTGGACAGATGTTTAGATTCCCCTCCTTCAAAAAAAAAAGCGCTCACCTTTAAAGATTCATGCCCCATGACGGCCGCTGTTGTATGTGTATACTACAAAAGCCAACAATCTTCACTGCTGTATTTAAGTTTCTAGTCTATATGAATGTGAGAAGAGCCCTACTGAATCAGATCAATAAGCCACTCGATCCAGCATTCTGTTTCCCACACTGGCCAGCCGGATGCCCTGCCCTGAAGGTGTAAAAAGGCACAGAGGACAAAGCTTCCCCCTGTTGCTGCCCTGAGCAAATAGTATTCAGAGATACACTGCCTCTCAACATGGAGGTTCTGCACAGTCATCATGACCTTTTTGGACCTCTTTTCCAGGCACTTGTTTAATCCCCTTTGAAAAGCACCTTCACCATGTCATCGTCTGACGGAAGTGTGCCTTGCACACGGAAGCTCACATCTTGAATAAAACTTTGTTGGTCTTAAAGGTGCCATTGGACTCTAACTTTGTTCCACAGCTTGTGGAAGTGAATTCCACAAGCTAACTGCACGGCATGAAATAGTACTTCCTTTTTGTCTGTCCTAAACTTGCTGCCCATCAGTTTCACTGGGTGGCTGTTGAGTTCTAGTATTATGGGAGAGAGAGAAAGTGCCCCCCATCCGGAGATCATGTTCTTGTGAGTACATGACAGTGCCGCTGTGTAGTTTCCTGTAGCATAGCTAGTAAAACCACAGCTGTGTATAACACTGACTGTGCAAACTATGCATGATTTCTCTTATGCAGTGTTATTAACTATCTATACTCGTTTCAGAAATGCTCCATCACCAAAACATTTCCTTCTCTTGTATGCTCTCTTTCTCTCTCTCTCGTACAATCCCCCCCCACACACACACGGTACAAAGTTGGGCCTCAAGTTCTTAATGCTCCATCTCAGCGGAACCAAACCCACACTGCCTGTAAAGAAGCATGGCTTAAACAGGTCCGTAATGTTTAGCCAGTTAACTGGTAAGGGTAGTCGGTGGAAACAAATTTGGTTCCATCAGAGCCATTTGACTAAATCTGACAACAAACCAATCCAAAGTGTTGCAAAACGTTCCCCCCGAAAAAACTTAACAGGAAACAAACAAACAAACAGATGGAGAAGTCCTTCTGAGGCCTATCCCGTATACTTAATGTCCCCAATTAATCAACCTGGAAGATGATTTTTGTGAAAATATTTTTTTCATTAAAATACTTGCAAAAAGTAAAGCTAGTAAGTGCCATAGTAAAAGAGGCCATCCCTGCCATTTCTAACAGGGAATACCCCAATGGTAACACAGCACTCTCTTGTTTCTTCAGAGGCATTGAGCAAGCACATACAGATTTAATCAATAAATTAAATTGCTTACAAACTATCTGCTGCCATGACTAGGCTCCTTTAAATGGGTGATGGTCCAAGGCTCAGTGCAGGGATGTTACCCAAACACTCCTTCACGTATTTATTCCCTTCCCTGTTTTCCCATCAGAATTGAACCCAAACAAATGGGAACCATATAAACCAAGCTTATTATCTCTGTTTGATCCTTCAGTCTGTTAAAACATCTTCATTATGCTGTATGATAATTTACTGTTCACCCTTTACCTATATGTAAAGGTAAAGGGTTCCCTTGCTCGAAAGCCAGTCGAGTCCGACTCTAGGGTTGCGGTGCTCATCTCCGTTTCCAAGCCGAAGAGCCAGTGCTGTCCGAAGACGTTTCCGTGGTCATGTGGCCGGCATGACTAAACGCCGAGGCGCACGGAACGCTGTTAACTTCCCACCGAAGCGGAGCCTATTTATCTACTTGCAATTTCTTGCTTTCGAACTGCTAGGTTGGCAGGAGCTGGGGCCAGAGATGGGAGCTCACTCCGTCACGCGGCACCCGGGTCTCGAACTGCCGAACTACAGACCTTCCGGGCTGCAGCTCAGCGTCTTGACCTCTGAGCCACTGTGGCCCCCTTTATGTATGGACGGGTAATTTCCATTTGTGCTTCCGTCTCCATCTTTACTCCATTTGGCCTTTCCTGGTAACTAAACTGCCCCCCTTCCTATTTGTAATGGTTCAGGAAATTCTGTTTCACTGTATCTGAAGAAGTGTGCTTGCACACGAAAGCTTATAGCCAGCATAAAACTTCGTTGGTCTTAAAGGGGCCACTGGACTAAAACTGTTCTGCTGATTCCGACCAACATGGCTACCCACCTAAATTCCCCTTACCAAAAACACTTTCAATCTCCCTCTGGACCCAGGACCTCCAGCTCAAAGTTCACTGGCTGACTATTTAGGGCCACCCTTCCCCTGGTGGGAGCGGGGGATACCCTGCCATCAGCGGGTGCTTCCCTGCTGCCACTCAGCTGGCTGGGTGGGGTAAGGGTGGGAAATATTGGCAGCATCCCAGTGCACTAATGCCACCCCTCAAATATCAGGAAGTGACATCAGTGTTGACCGATGCCCAGGGGTCATTTCCTGCAGGAGCGCACAGGAGCGGAGCTCCGGCAGTAAGGAGCCCAGGGGGCGGGCACATGCAACAAGCCCCATCCCCTGCTCCCAGCAGCCCTCAGTCAGAGCAAGAAGCAGCCAGGTAA